AGAGGAGGGAGATCCGGCCGTCCATTTGGGGTCTGGGGTGGTGGATTGCTGTGCTCAGTGTTGGGCGGGGGAGCCTGCTCATCAGCACCCCAGCAGAAAGGGTCGAACTATTGGAACCGGTGATGGTTGTACCCCATGTGCAGCAGTACCGGGACCAGAGTGAATAGGGTATGTATGGGGAGCATGAGTGGGTGTCCAGCGTGCATTTTTATAAGTCTTTGGTTGTATGTGCATGTGTGAGCATGAGGGAGGGAGTGTGGAGGCCGTTGCCCCCCTCTGGAGGTGCTTGTGTATGACTGTATATGTCAGGTTGGGCCTTTGACTCCTCCCTTATCCTGGGACTTCTTTTGGTGATATAGATATTCGTTTCCCCTCTCCCTGCCACACCTGGTGTGGAGTGCGGTGCCTTAGTGTGCCTGGGTCGTGGCTCCTGGGTCAGGGAGTTTAAGATTTTTGGCCTAACCAATCCCAGTGGCCTAACCAATCCCAGTGGCTGCCTCGTGGGGTCTGGGTCCCTGGGCTCTGCTGGGTCCCCAGCGGGAGTGGTCACCCCTGGGTCCCAGGTCATTGGGTCCCGGGCTCGGCCGGCTAGGGGGTGGGAGGCTGCGGTCGGGCCTGTGGGCTTGCCGCCGATATCTCCCTTGACTTTGCCAGCTTCTGGTTGTGGTCCCCCAGGGCGATCCTCTATGCCTCTCGAGGGGGGCGGGGGCCTTTCTGGTTGCAGTCTCCTTGGGGTTCCTGCGTTCTGGGGCAGCGCCTGGATCTCTGGGACTTGGAGCTCCCTCCATCTCCTGCGCATCTTTGGGGGGCGGATCTATGGCCCCTCACACTCTCTATTGGACGCTCCTATAGAGAAACCTTACATAAACAAGCGAGTGTACACACACAGGTGCTCACATGGTGCTCTCAACAGTATGGACTTGGGCACGTTCAACACAGGTCTTAAGGCTATGGTTGGCACTAAATGCACTGTGATTTATTATCGTGATTGTTCAGTTAAACAATGTTGATTTTATATTTTCTCATCAAGCTGATGCAGTGATATCTTGTTGTATTGTTGTTGTGTCCCTTTTTGTTTTATTTTATTTTTTTTTCTCTTTTTCTGCAGGTCTAGAAGCAGACCTGTGTTCATTATTGTTTATTTTTGTGGAACACCCCCCCTCTCCCAATAACAATAAAGTTTTAAGTATCATGAGTGACATTAAAAGCAGACGCTTTGATGCTCCACCTGAGAGTAAATCTGTAAGGCTTGTCACCAGCATTCAGACATCAATTCTGTTTGCTTCACAGCCAGACAGGACACACACACAAAAAACAATGTTTCAGAATGCCTCTAAGTCAGAATCCCGCCTA